TGAACCTCAAGGTTGGTGACTCAAGTTCACCAGCTGCTGCTTGGAAACCCTATACAGGGTAGCTATGAAGGCATTTTCCAACAACAGCTGGTCAAACTAGTCTCTTCCTTTCCTCTGAGCTCCCTTTTGTTATGCCAGCCGGCATAACAAAGATTCCCATAAATCCTGAAAATGGATCACCATAAAAGCCATATCTCACACTTCCACTCTGTGGGTTAAAGAGTGCATAACATAGAGAACAAGGCAATCTGAATTTTAGCCATAACTACACACACACAAATACAAATTACAGCTGCTGAGAATGACTCCATATGAAAGAAAAGCCTACATGTCCAAAATAAAAGAATCAACAAATGGATAGTAGCATCTCAAAGGGGATAGAAGATGAAACATCTGTGTATGAAAACCAGTGAACCTGTAAAAAGAAGGATGGAAGGATGGAGGGAGAGTTACACAAGTGAGAAAAACCAATCTTAGTGTAATATTTACTAGCCAGTATTTATGAGTGAGCATTAAGTGTGAGGTATTCTCCACGTAAATGTTCTTATTTGTAACAACCCACTGAACAAACAAACGAGGTAAGTAGAATCATCCCTTCTATACAGATGTTGTTATTGTTGTGTGCTATTGTGTCAGTTCAGACTTATAGTGACCCTGTATAGGATTTACAAGGAGCAGGTGGTGAGTCTGAACTGCCTACCTTAGCAATCCAGGGCCTATCCTACAGCGCCACACTGTACAGGAAAAGGTAGAAACATTAACTGCCTCTTCCCACCCAGGAGACAAGCTAGAATGCTAATCAGGTCTTTGAACTTGACCAATCCCCCTGGTTTCTCTCCTGTCCTCAAACAGGTCAGCGTCCTAGCCCTTTCCCGACTCTGACCCCATATAAGCCCGTGTTGTCCTCCATTTGGCGCTCAGAATCTGGAGAAGCTAGCTCCTCTGAGCCAGCTGACTTAATAAAATCTGGAATTCTGCTTCACCTCTCTGAGTGGCCTTGGTTTCTTTGACTATGGATCAAGAGCTGCTGTTACACCCTCAGGCCCAGGTTTGCTGCATCACTCTCAGGCCCAGGGCTGCTGTGATGCTCCCAGGCCCAGAGCTGCTATAATACTCTTAAATGTAAAACTGCTGAAACAACACACCAGGACTCCTACAGATGGCAAACAGGGCCAAGTTCCTTTAGGGCCATCTATGGATGTCATCACGAATGAGGAGACTGACTGAGAGAGACAACAGTAAGCCCAGAGCAGCTCAAGTGATGCAGTTGCTTGTTACCCAAACAGCAACAGGGAGGCAGCTTTGCTATTACCTAAAGCCAAATGGCTCTGGAAGGAGAAATGGAGAATCTAAAACTCAAATTATAAACACTCAATCTCAAGGTCAGACTGAACCACAAGGTCAGTGGTTCAAACTCACCAGCCACTCCTTGAAAACCCTATACAGAGTAGCTATGAGATGGAAACGACTTGATGGCACTTAACAACAACACATAGCAATTGGTTTGCAAAGCCACATTTGAGTCCTCATTTCTGTGACCCTTAAGTGTGTGTGATGCTTAAATTTTATATAGGGTCAGGAAAGAGTTAGGGGTATTCAAGTCAGAATCCTTAGGGTGGGTTTAGCATTTCACTTTCTTAGTTCCTCTGTAATGAGGAGCCCTTGCAACACAATTGCTATACAACCTATATCCCAGAAAACTGGCCATTTAAACCCAACCAGTAAATTAAAGAAATGAGTCCTAGTGCAATGCTGTGGGTTAATGCACTGGACTACAAAGCCAGTTTGAACCACAATATTGGCAGTTCAAGTTCATCAGTCACTGCTCGGAAATCCTGTACAGTGTCGCTATGGATCTGAACCAACTTGACGGCACTTAACAACAACAACAACAAGTAACTAAAAAATATCTGATCATCTGCTCTAATTAATATTTGTCTTAGTTGTATACCATTGTGTCTATTTCAGCTCTAATACTCTATCACAAACAATAGCATAGAGTAGAAGTACCTCATAGAATTTTCAAGCCTGTAGTCCTGGTGTGGTGCTGTGGGTTAATGCACTGAATTGCAAAGTTGCTTTGAACCGCAAGGTCGGTGGTTCGAGCTCACCAGCTGCTCTTCAAAAACCCTATACATGGTCACTGTAGGTTGGAATTGACTCACCGGCACTTAACAGCAACAAATTTTTATGGAGTCATGTGTGGCACTGTGGGTTAATTAATGTACTGGACTGCAAGGTCAGCAGTTCAAGCTCACCAATCACTCCTTCGAAACCCTATGCAGGGTCCCTGAGTCGGAATTGACTCACTGACACTTAACAACAGCAATCTTTATGGGGAAGTCCTGGTGTGGCGATTTAGGATAAACCCCCCACCCCTTGGAAACCTGATACAGGGTCACTATGAGTCGGAATCAACTCAACAGCACTTAAGAACAATCTTTATGGAGGCAGATTGCTAGGTCTTTTCTCCCGCATGGTAGCTGGTGTGTTCAAACCACCAACATTTTGGTTAATAGTCAAGCATTTTAAATACCTAGAAAACCCTATGAGAACAGTTCGACTCTGTCACATTGTGCCACTATGAGTCAAAATCAATCTATGGCACCTAACAATCCCTCAGTGAAATAATAGACAAGTAGGGTTTCCTAGTGTCCTTGCTTCTCTTGTCTCTCAGGGAACAGGCACAAGATCCTGGAATAAATGGGGAAGGGTATGAGTATTTTAGGAAATTGATAGTAACAAAATTTGGTTTCACAATCAATATGCATGAAAAAAATAGAGATTTAATTTTTAAAGTTTTCAAACAGTAACCCAAATGATAACATGGACCTACCAACCTAAACAAAATGGAGTTGGTTTAGATATTAGGTCTTGATAAATGAAGACCCTGAAAATGGGGAAGTTAATTTAAATATTAGCTGAGATGACCTCAGGGTCCTAGAAGGTGAATAGGATGTGCTTAAACCCACCCAGAGAGTTATCTCAGGAACTAAGCACCTTGGATCCTAAAAGGTGGAATGTTTGAGAAGGATTATTGCCTGATTGTTTCCTTTTTCCAAAAGGTAGAATGTTTGAAGAAGTTTACTGCTTTATTGTTTCTTTTTCCAAAAAATACTATCTTGACGTTGAAATAGATTAAGTATACATCCAAATGTAATTTACTCTATATAAAGTGCCTGCTCTTCAGAATGGACAGGACGGTTTTGAGAGATGATTCTCTCCGTCTTCTAGACTGCTGGCTTTCTGCTATTAAAGCTTGGATTGGCTCTCTCCCATCGCTGTGAATGACTACAGTGACTGGTGGCAAACCCTTGTTTCAGTTTGGCAGCACAAGTGGATCAGCAGGAAAGTCTAAGTGTTTCAAGGCACCCCTGCTGGTTTCCCATATCTGTCTTCCTGTTGAGAGCTTGACAGGAACTCTACTGTGACCTCCAGCACCCACTTACATCAAAAGTTAGGAAACAGGATCTTCAAAAGCAAGATCCTATTTCCTAACTGTGTTCCAGAAAATTTAAAAGAATTGAAAATGTTGAGAATTGCTATTTGTTATGTGTACCACAAAACCATGATGTTGTTGTTTTTAGGTGTCATCCAGTAGGCTCCAACTTACAGCAACCCTACATACAACAGAACAAAACACTGCAAAGTCCTGCACTCTCCTCACATCATTGCTGAGTTTAAGTCCATTGTTGTAGCCACTTTGACAATCCATCTTGTTCTTCCTCTTTTTCCATTAAGTCTAACAAAAACACCATCCAGTCCTATAAAATGTTGATTATCACAAAACTTTCTTCAAAGAGCACAGGAAGAAGAGTTTCTTTGATCTTTATATTAATTAAATCCTTTTGAGAAATCATATTGCCCTCTTCTAAGGAGTTCCTTAACATAAAGAGGGTAATAACATTTACCAAGTGGCATCAAACTCCCACATGAGCTAGAGAAAAAGATCCGAGTGTTACAACAGAATCGACCGTTTTGGTGACTAGATTTTTTTGACTATCTTAAAAAACAAGATCCACTTTTTCCCATTTCCAAAACATTGCTGGACCTCATGTAATAACAGCATCTGTACAAATTTTAAAATAAATATGAAAACAGCTAGTTCCCTACATAAAAGTACATATAAAATATTATTGTTCATTCTTGAAAAAAATATCAAAGGCTTACAACCTAAAACCCAGGAAGCTGACAAGTTTTCAACTATCATCAGCCCTTTCATTTTGTTGTTGTTTAAGCATCTAAGCAGGCATCAAGATTACTGAAAATCGTTACTATCTTGGCTCTGGTATAGGCTAAACATACTGGGTTTTCTACTTGCTAAGGACCCCTGCAACACAGTAGGTTAAGCATTTGGACTGCTAATGACAAATCCACCAACTATTCTGCCAGAGACAGAGGAAACTGCCTGCTCCTATAAAGATTTACAGTATCAGAAACCCTAAGCCCAGTTCTTCTCTATCCTACAGGGTCACTAAGAGTCTGAATCAACTCTGATAGCTGTGGGGCTTAATTAAGAAATAAATGTCAAGCTGGCATTTTGCAGAATCCATATTTAACAGTGCCATCACGCAGTCTTTAAAATTTAGTCTTACCTATTCTAATAAAGTGGACTCCTTGTGTGGCACTGTGGGTTAATGCGCCCAACTGCAAAGTTTTTTTGAACTCCAAGGTTGGCAAATCAAGCTCACCAGCTGCTCCTTGGAAACCCTATACTGGGTTGCTATGGCTCAGAACCAACTCAATAGCACTTAACAACAACAATAATATTCTAATTAATTGGGAGTATGATGGTTTCTGGATACGTCCTTGTTGACTGCAAACCACAAGGTTCATGGTTTGAACCCACCTACTGCTCCACAGAAGAAAGATTAGGCTTTCTACTCCTGTAAAGATTTATAGTCTTAGAAAACCTATGTAAGTTAGCTATGAGTCGGAACTGACTTGTTGACACTTAAAAACAACAACAGCAATCTAATAAATAATAAGATAAAAATTACATCTTTGGAGATTTTAATCCATCTACTGTCAAGGTGTCATTCAAGAGGAGAAGCAGAGAGTGCAAAGCTTCCGTCACTTTCCACGGCTTGCTCGCCACCTCAAATTGATCTCTGAGGGTCTCCAGACTGTGCTCAATTATTGTGAGTACCTTCTCAAGCAACTTGCCCTTTTGCCACTGACCAAGCACCTGAGAAATTAGAAAGAAAAATATTATCGTCAATAATGATACATTTTAAACATCGTAATTAGTTAAGAAATATTAACAGACCATTCATGATACACAATACTCAATTTTCATTTTGCATGCAGATTAAAATGTCTATTATAATTGCATTAAGATTTACATCCACTCAGAATTTAAAGATTTTAAATTGAAACAATGTATGGATGTAACTTTTGATTTTGTCCTTATTTTTCATTCTCTGATTATCATACCCAAAAGTGAAAACAACGTAAATTTGTTAAGAAATATATTAATATATTTAAATATGTATTTTAATTAACACATAAATACCATTTTATGTCAAGAATTTAGGGATGATGGCATTAAAAACAATTACTATCACAGAGTATTATCATTTAGCCCAAAATAGATCATTAATGCCCAAACAATATACCAAGGCAAAATGCTTGATGGGCATTTGTTGTTGTCGTTGTTAAAGCGACCTTAGGCACAACAAAATGAAACACTACCCAATCCAGCGCCAACCTCACTGCTTCCACTGTGCCAATCAATTTCATGGGGGGTCTTTCTCTTCTTCGTTGACCTTCCATTTTACCCAGCATGATATCCTTTTCCAGGAACTGGTCCCTCCTAATATGTTCAAAGTATGAAAGATGAAGCCTGGGCATCTTGGCTTCTAAGAAGCATTCTGGCTGTACTTCTTCAAACACAGATTTGTTTGTGCTTTTGGCAGTCCATGGTATTTTTAATATTCTTCTCCAACACCATAACACAAATGCATCAACTTTCTAGAGTCTTCTTTATTCATTGTCCAACTTTCAGTGCATATGAGACTATTGAAAAGTACCAGGCAGTCCTTAGTCCTCAAACTTGCACCTTTGCTCTTGGACACTTTAAAGAGGTCTTGGGCAACAGAGTTGCCTAATGCAATATGTCATTTGAGTTCCTGAATGCTGCTTCCTTGAGTGGTGATGATTGATGTGAGTAAAATGAAGTCTTTGACAACTTAAATTTATTCTTCATTTATCTTCATGCTATTTATTGGTCCAGTTGTGAGGATTTTTGTTTTATTTTATCTTGCGGTGCAATTCATACCAAAGGCTGTTGTCTTTGACCTTTCAGTAAGTATTTTAAGTTCTCTTCACTTTCAACAAGCAAGGTTGTATCACATGCATAATTGCAGGTTGTTAAGGAGCCTTCATCCAATACTGATTCCACATTCATTTAACCAACCTTCTAGGATTATTTGCTCAGCATATAGATTGAATAAATATGGTGAAAGAATTCAACCTTGGTGCACACCTTTCCTGTTTTTAAACCATACAGTGTCCCCCGATTCAGTTTGAACAACTGCCTCTTGGTCTCTATGGGTACAATTAAGAGTTCTGAAATACTCATTATCCTTAATGTTGCCCATAGCTTGTCTTGACCCACACAATTGAAAGTTTTGCATAGTCAATAAAGCACAGGTAAACACCTTTCTGGTACCCGCTGTTATCAGCAAGATCCATCTGACAGCAATCCCTCATTCCAAGTCCTGGTTTGAATCCAGTTTGAATCTCTAGCAGTTCCCTGTAAATGTGCTGTTGCAGCCATTTTTGAATTATCTTTAGCAAAAATTTACTTGCATGTGGTATTAAGGATATCGCCTGATAATTTCCACATTCCATTGGGTCACATCTCTTTGGAATGGGCACAAATATGGATCTTTTCCAAACTGTTGACCATACAACTGTCTTGAAAATATCTTGGCATAGATGAGAAAGTGCCTCCAGTGCTAACATTAGGTTTTTTTGGTTTTGTTTTTTACACTTAAAACATTTAAATATAAATTAAGTTATAACTTAAGTTACAACCAAAAGCAAAAACAAAAAAAAAAGACTCTCAGCAATTAAGAACACAGGACAGCCCAACACGAGGCCATTAAAGTGAGGACATTTTCATTATGGCAACTTAAAACTCATCATGTGCTAATCTGGCTGGTCCCATCGTGCTGCTGCCATCTGGCACTGCATTCTGGCCCTGGGCCCGTCAGCGTCCTTCTCCTAGGCCTCCCTGTGTTGGCGTCAGTTCCACTCACTGGGATTGAACTCCTTCAACTCCACTTGGTCCCTGTCTTCTGTAATTCTCACCTTCTGCAGAGGAGGGAGCAGAGCTTCCAGCTGAAGGAGCTTTTCCTGAGAAAGCCACTGATATTCAGGAAAGGGTACTAAAAATTGTATGATCAGAGTCCGTTTCTCCAGGGGAGCTTTATAGCTGGGCATCTCTTGATTGTGCACAACTTTCAGATCCCCATGCTTTATCACCTCACCTGATTTGGAGGTAATAACCAGGATTTGATCGTCCCGTGTTTTCATCATCTTCATGAAGCCACAAAGGGCTTCAGAAAGTCAAATTTTCATTTTCATGATCAACTCACGGCCTCATCTCTGAAAGATACTGACTTATCCTTCTGACCAAGCACAATTATGACATCACTAGGCTCCAGCTCAGACTTCTGATCACCTTCCCCATGAAGTAGCATCTTTTGCCCATCTTTCATACCTTTTCCGACATGCACCTCGATAATCTTCTTCTCCCAGACCACCTTGGCACCGCTGCAGCTTTCGCACGGGTCTGTGGGGTTCATGCGCTCACCCTGGCCCTTGCACTCGATGTACACGGTCTAGATCTGGGGCTCCATGACTGGCCCAATCTGCTGAATATGGATCTGCATTCACCACCCCTTGCACAGTGGGCAGTTCTCCACAGACCCCTTCTTCCCTCCGACACCTTTGTGTTTCTCACAAATTACTTTTTACTGGAGAACCAATTCCTTTGTGACTCCATTATATAAATCTTCAAGAGTTACAGACAACAGATGTATAACATTCTTTCCTCTTCTCTCCTCGCCATCTGCCCGCCACCATGGAAGAACATGTTGAAGATGTCCACGGGTGACAAGAAGCTGGGGCTGCTCCCCGCCCTAGTCTCAGATGTCCCTTTTCTTTGAATCTGAAAGCACTTCATATACCTAGGATTTGAGTTTAAACAAAGGCAATGTAAACTTCTTGAGGGCAGGGAATTTTGTCGGTTTTGTTCACTACTGTCTTCCCTAGCTTAGAACCATATCTTCTCGCCTTCATCCAGGTTCTTGTCCCAGTGGAACTTGAGTGCCAGCGGGCGATAGGCCGGCTCGATCTCCTCCTCCGAGGTGCTGAACTTCACTCCACGGACATCATAGTCTGGTCTCCTTCACCATCTTGTCCCTGCAGGGCAGACGCGGAGATGCAGCTCAGCTCACCTCCCCATCCCACCCCCCAACCCCCGACATCCCCTCCCCCCACCCCCCGGCCCCTCACCCGTGCCTCAGTCCGCCTCGCTACATTAGTTTTTTTTGAAAGATTTCATTTATACTTAATTTGTATTCCATCAATTCCCAGAACCTCATTGTTTGCCAAATGTCTTCATTGCACCTTGGCCTTCTTCAGTCAGTGATACTGGCTCTTGGTCATATGCTACCTCTAGAAATGGTTGAACACCATTTTTTTGTGGTGTAATGACTCTGTGTATTGCTTCCAACTTCTTTTGATGCTTTCCGAATCATTCAATATTTTTCCTATAGAATCCTTCCATACTATTTAAGCGAGCTCTTCCCTTTTGGTTTTCTAACTCAAAGTCTGCACATTTCTTTATAATAATTGTCCTTGTCTTCTTGAGCTGCCTATTGAAATGTTGTGTGTAGCTCTTTTACCACTTTAATTCTTCCATTTGCTTCAGCATCTCTATGCTGAAGAGCAAGTTTCAGAGTCTCCTCTGACATTCATTTCAATGGCCTTTTCCTTCTTTCTTGTCTTCTTTTGCTTTCTTCCTTTATGTTCACAACTCTTCTGGTCTTGGGTCATCATTGTTTAATTCACCAAATCTGTTCTTGAGATTATTTCTAAATTCAGGTGGGATATGTTCAAGGTCATATTTTGGCTTTTGTGGTCTTGTTTTAATTTGATTCAGCTTTAGCCTGAACTTTCATATGGGCAACTGATGACGTGTTCTACAGTCTGCCCCCGGTCTGGTTTTGTCTGATGATATGGAGCTTTTCGCATCTCTTTCCACAAATGTAGTCAATTTGATTTCTGTGTGTTCCACCTGGTGAGCTCTGTAGGTCTAATCATACTTTATGTTATTTTAAAAAAGGCATTTGCAATGAAAAAGTCATTACTCTTGCAAAGTTCTATCATGTGACATCCAGCATAATTTCTATTGCCAAGGCTATATGTTCCAAAGATTGATCTTTCTTCCCAACCTTTGCATTCCAATTGCCAGTAATTATCAATATATTTTGATTGCATGTTTGATCAATTTCAGACTGAAGAAGTTTATAGAATTCTTCCATTTCATCATCACTGGCTTTAGTGTTCGGTGTGTAGTTTTGAATACTACTTGTCTTCCTTGTAGGTGTATGGATATTATCCTATCACAGATAGAGCTATACTCCAAGACTGATCTTAAAATGTTCTTTTTGATAATGAATTAGTCCCCATTCCACTTTAATTTGTTACCCCAGGCATAGAAAACCATGTCAGATTCATCATGGTCAATACCAGTCCATTTCATCTCACTAATGCCTAGGATGTTGATGTTTCTGAGTTCCATTTCAATTTTGACAACTTCCAGTTTTCTTAGATTCATACTTAATACATTCCATGTTCTGCTTATTAAAGTATGTTCACCTCTGTTTCTCCTTCTTTTGAGTTGTGTCCTATCAGCAAATGAATGTCTTGAAAGCTTTACTTCATTAGCATCATCACCGTCAATTCTACTTTGAAGAGACAGCTCTTCCTTAGTAGTATTTTGAGTGCCTTCCAACCTGAGGGACTTTTCATCTGGAAATACATCTGACAATATTCTGGTGCTCTTCAATATTTTTCAATATTCAATATTGTGGTGCTATCTGACAGTGTTCCACTGCTATATCACACCAGGTAGAACCTCATCAAATGGAATACACAGAAATCAAATTGACTATATCACAATATTTTCAGTGACTAAATATTCAGATTTCTGTCTCTTTGTCTTCTTAGTCTGGAAGTTCAGCTGAAACCTGTCCATCATGGATGCTGCTGCTGGTATTTAAAGTACTGATGGCATAGCTTCCAAACTCACAGCAACAAGCAAGCCACCGCAGTCTGACAAACTGACAGAGGAGTGGTGGTGATAAACATTCATGTTTGCTAAATACTCCTTAATTAATCATGAATGTAAGTTACTTAGATAATGTACAAAGCAAAATACATTGACACAATCATTTTGATGCTGATCACATTAATGTCTTCCCTGGATCATTTTATAGTCAGGTAAATTTAATGCTTGTTGTTGTGTGGTGTCATTGTTGATTACAATAATGTTGTTGTGTGGTATCAAGTTGATTCCAACACTTTGTGACAGAATAAAACTGCCCCATAGGGTTTCCTAGGCTGAAATATCTATGCGAGAAGATTACCAAGGGTATTCTGTCATCGAGTTCATGGCTGGTAGTTTCAAGCTACAAACATTTTGGTTAATAGCCAAGCACTTAACCACTGCTCCATCAGGGCTCCAATTTTAAATGACATAATTTTTAAACAATGTTTCCTTCATTACTTGAGATTACTGGCTTTACAGGGACACATTTTGAGATATGTTCTTTTCAATGAGAAATGTGATGCTTGATAAAGAAAGTGGGACATAACTGTCAGACTTTTTTTTCATTCCTTCTCCAGAACTTCTGCCAAAACATAATGTTTTTAGCTAGCCAGGGCACAGTGAGAACTGCCGAGTAGTAAATACTAGGGGGGTTCTGCAGGTGTTCTGTGGACACTTTGCACCAAAAAGACACTTCTGGTGAGAATTCTTACTTAGTTTTAAATCATAGTAACTGTTGGTGCAGAGTGCTGTTTAATAATGAAGTGAGGGAAAGTTGCATAAGCACTCAAAATGATGCAAGAGCAGTCTTAAAAGAAAATATTTCAGGTGAAATTCTCACCTATCAATAATAGATTATGGTTCTAGAAACCTTTGTGCAGGCAGATATATCTTGAATCCAGTCTTCCAGCTGACCAAGATGGACTTTGTGGCCAAGTGAATACTGAAGGCCTTATGAGTTGCAACCTGGTGTTGTGCATGTGGTAGAAATTGTACACAATCAGGATGTGGTCATTCTAAAGTCTTTCCTGGGAAGGACATATAATCCCACAATAGAAATATAAGGGATAACATGAATGGTTTTAGACATACTTAGAACGATGCACATTAGGTAAAAATAGCTTTCATATTGCATAATACCTGTTTATAGACTTGGGGCCAGCTGACCACATGGACAAGATAGTCTTTGGCTTCTGACCACTTGGAATCACAGTCTCCAGGGTGACTCTCTCCATCAGTTCCATCCTCTGACGTGTTGAATAAGACTGAACATACCATAGACTCAAGTGACTTGTCTGTGGGAACCTGGGAACAGTGTGGAAAACATGCACAAGTAATTCCTTTTTTCTAGAATGGTTCTCTTCAAAGAATGATTCCATAATCTTACAAAACTAAGTGCTATTTGGGTGAAAAAGTCACAGGATGATGGATCAGAAGTGTTACTTGTAGGGTCTATGTAAATTACCTTGAAGAGAGGAAGAAAATTAATTGTATTTTTCAGGATAGTTCAGAATCCATGGGAGAAGTTGCTTCACCAAGGTCAGTGACTAGGGAAGTGTATCATGTATTGTTCTTCCTCACACTTGTGCCGAATGTAAACACAGATGGCTTGGTTGAATTGATACTTTGTGCTAACAAAGTTACTTTGCCTAAAACTTTTTTTTTTAACTATCAGAAATCGGTGAAATTGGGAGTTTTTAAAATCAAGTTTGAGGTCACAATTTCAAGTTCTCCAGGAGGTGGGTGGTTAATTAAATTGTGTTAAGGTGGTTAGATGTGAGTTAAGAAGCAAAAAACTGTTTCTAACCCAGCCAAGTATGGCTCCTGTCTGCTAGAAGAGTTCCTTTTCTGATGTCACACCATCACTTGAGTCAGCAGGCTGTGCATGGACAGCAGACCAGCAGTCTACACCTCAAACTAATACTGCAGGTCAGCACAGCGTCTGAGAGAGAAAATGAGATCCCCAGGACACCATATTAGAGATAGGACAGGAGAGATGGGGAACCTCAAGTCCAAGATTCAAATGCAGCTGTCTAAACAAAAACAGAGATTGCATTTAGATGGGAAGACACTATCATCAAATCTTAGGCAGTGGGTTCCTTTGTGAGCAAAGGAACTAGTATCTGTCCTGTTCTCTGCTCTAAATGTGGGCTGAGTCCTCTAACAGGAGAACATGACTCCTCTCCAAATATTCAGGAGCTCAACCCTGAACAAGGAATTGCATCAGAAATACTCCTGCCTTGGAGTTAAGGATTAGAGAAGGTGTTTATGGAAAGGGAGACAAATGCGTCACCTTGGATTCTGTGCCATCCAAGTCAAAAGTGCACTAAAAGAAAACTGTACAGATAACATTCCTTCCAGGGTGCCTAGGATAGCAGCAAGGCCAGGTCTTGAGAGGTCATTTTGGCCAACAGTCTTATTATATACAGTTTGGAAAGTGAAGCTCAAATGTGCTTAGGCTAGTTGTTCTCTAGAATCTTCCCCTACTAATGACAATTGTCTGTCTGCCTGGAAAGACATGGCTGGAGTCTTCCACACTCCTGCTACTGCCACATCTTCCTATCCCAAAGATGTTTGTTGTTGTTGTTGTTATGTGCCATCGAGTCGGTTCCGACCCATAGCGACCCTGTATAGGGTTTCCGAGGGTGTATATCTTTACGGGAGTAGAAAGCCTCATCTTTCTCCCGCGGAGCAGCTGGTAGTTTCGAACCGCTGACCTTAAGGTTCGCAGCCCGATTCGTAACCACTACGCTACCTTCAGATATATTGATGCTAGTGTTCAGGTGCTCACCCTCTCACCTGACCTGCCGTCTTCCACTGCTAGTTCCAAGTACAATAAATCGCCCTACTACTTCCAAACTGCCTTTTGATACTGGTAGAAAATGCACACAATACAGGAAAAATAACAGCAAGGATCGGCTTTGTCCAAGAAGCTTAGATTTTAATGTAGAACTCTTATTTTCTGTCACCCTTTCCCAATGCCACCGCCAACCCGGTATCAATCTAGATTCTCTGTCAGTGACAAATTAAACATGAGTACCTCCATTAGCTGAGCTGAATAATTTAGGATTCGTGCTGAGTGAAGATCATCAAAACCAAATAGAGATTTCAGGTCAGACTTCACCATCTGTGGATTCCACACTATATCCTTCAGGGACAGATTGTATCCTGACTCTGCAAAATTAGAGGATGTTTTATACTGACAGTTGTTTTAATATTTTGGAATGTTAAAAATCATTGAGAGAAAAAGCCATCTTTATTTTTACAAGAAAAGTCAATGAAAACCAGATACCATTTGAGCTATTACAGGGAAAGAGAACGGAAGCTAACACTATTGAAAAGATGGTGACATGGTTCATACTCACTAGCATACATGATTGCAAAATTTCTAAAATATAATTTGATAATATATTTCAAAAGTCTTATAAATGTCAAATAATTGGACCATCTATGAATCTATATCAAGCAGCAATGAGATACATTAAAAATTAACATCTGTAGTTGTTAGGTGCTATCAAGTCAGTTCTGGCTCACACATACAATATAACAGAACACTGTGTGCTTCTATGCCATCCTCATAATCATTGCTGTTTAAATTCAGTGTTGCAGACACTCTGTCAATCCATCTCATTGAAGTTCTTCCTCATTTTCACTGAACCTCTGTTTTATTGAATATGATGTCCTTCTCCAGGGACTGGTCCCTTCTGATAACATCTCCAAAGGATGTAAAACAACACCTCACCATCCTCACTAAGAAGCATTCTGGTTGTATTTCTTTCAAGACAGTTTTGCTTGTTCTTCTGGCAGACTACAATATATTCAATATTCCTTGCCAACGCCATAATTCAAATGTATCAATTCTTTTGCCTTCTTTATTCATTGTTCAACTTCTACCTGCATATAAGGTAACTGAAAATATCATAGCTTAGGTCAGGCACATCTTAGTCCTTCAAGTGATATCTTTACTTTTGAACACTTTGAAGAGGTGTCTTGCCACAGATTCACCCAATGCAATTCATCATTTGATTTCCTGACTGTTACTTCTATGGGAATTGATTGTGGATCTAAGTATAATAAATTCACTGACAACTTCAATATTTTCTCCATTTATCATAATGTTGCTTATTAGACTAGCTATTAGGATTTTTGTTTTATGTTGAGGTATAATCCAATAGATAAGACTGTATGTAGTCTTTGATCTTCATCAATAAGTGCTTCAAGTCCTCTTTGCTGCCAGCAAGTAAAGTTATGTCATCTGCATAATGTGGGTTGTTAGACTTCCTCTAATCCTTATACTGTGTTTTTCTTCAGGTTAATCCTTATACTGTGTTCTTCTTCAGGTAACTCTGGCTTCTTGGATAATTTGCTAAACATACAGACTGAGTAATTATGGTAAAATGATACAACCCTGACATATATATTTCCTTATTTACTGTCTCTTGGTCTATGTACCAGTTCTACATGAACACACTAAAGATGGGATAACCATTCTATTATTATCCATAATTTCTTATGATCCACACTGTCAAATGCCTTTGCCTAATCAATAAAATATACATAAACATCTATCTGGTATTCTCTGCTTTCAGCCAATGTCTATCAAATGTTAGCAATAATATCTCTCAAGCCACATCCTCTTTTGAATCTGGCTCAAATTTCTGGCAGTTTCCTTTTGGTGTACTGTTGCATCCAGTTTTTAATAATCTTCACCAAAATTTTACTTGTGTGTGATACTAATGATCTTAATTGATAATTTCTACTTTCTGTTGAATCACCTTTCTTTTGAATGGGCACAAATTAAGACTTCTTCTGGTCAGTTGGCCAGGTAGCTGTCTTTCAAATGTCTTTGCAGAGGTGAGTGAACCTTTCCAGTGATGCATCTGTTTGTTGAAGCAGTTCAGATGGTATTCTATCAATTCCTGGAGCCTTGTTTTTCATCATTGCCTTCAGTGAGCTTGGACTTCTTCCTTTCATATTATTAGTTCTTGATTATATGCTACTTCTTGCAATGGTTGAGCATCACCATGAAATGCCAAGCATGTTCTTCCCTTTTGGTTTTTTAACCAGTTCACTATAACGTTGTATTTTGACTTCTTAAGCTATTTTTCAAAATCTTCTACTCAGCTCTACTAACTCATCATTTGTTTCATTCATTTTAGCTACTCTATGGTAAAAAGAATGTTTGAATCTCTTCTAACTTCCAGTTTGGTGTTTTGTTCTGTGTTTTATTTTATCTTTCTTTTTTCATGACCTTTTTGCTTTCCTTATATATGATGTCCTTAACATCATCCCACAGTTTATACGGTCTTTGGTCGTTAGTGTTCAATGCTTCAAATAGATTCTTCAGATGCTCCCTAAATTCATGTAGATTATATGCAAGGTTGTACTTGGGCTCTTGTGGATTTTTTTCTGTTTCTTCAGCTTCAACTTGAATTTTCCTGTGAGTGATTGATAGTCTATACCACAGTAGGGCCCAATCTTGTTCTGACTTGTTACACCAATGTAGTTGATTTAATACTTACCATAGGTGATCCTAATGACATCTGAAATACGGGTTACATAGTTTCTAGTATATCAGCCATACACAAGCTTCCACAGTACAACAATCTTACAGACTAGTGGTGGAAAATGAATACAAAGTGATGTTATTGCATTCATTTTATAATGGTTAAATACTGAAACCAGGTAAGCAAGAAAAATGATAACATATGGCAAATTTATAACAAATGGCATCTTTATAACTCTGGAGTCTTTAAAGCCATATTTCCAAAGGTTATATAGTGTCAGAGGAAAATGTCCCACTACAAGAAGAATTTATGAAACAAAACTCTTAAACTACTCAATTAATTCAACAACTTCATTTAAAAGAAGCTCAGCCAAAATACAAATCCAAAACCTCCAATGTTTCATGAAATAGCTAAAGAATATAACCTAGCATCTTAAACGTAAATTCTAAGGTGAACCTTCATCTGAAACTCAGCAACTAGATTGTTTCAGACTGTGATTCACAACTATAAGTTCCTATAGTTGGCCAGCACTGTAAAACCATTTTCACATGCATAGTCTTATGTGATCCTTAAATTAACACTCCAAAATGTATAGAAAAATTATAATCATGCCATTTACTAAGAAGAACCAAGTTATAGTGGACTTCAGGAATGTATTGAAGATTGGGATGAAAAGAGGGCTCCTGATTTCCAGCCTCATTTTCTTCGGCATGAGAGGAAAAAAAAAAAAATGACTGTAACATTTAAAATAGCATTTACTATATCGAGATGGATGGATGGGTGGGTGGGTGGATGATGGATGCACAGATGAATGGATGGATGGATTCCATTTACAACTGCTCTCTCCCTGTATTTCTGTCACAGAGATATATATGAAGAAAAGGAGAGAAAGAGGGAATTTATTGGAATTGTTTCTGGTAATCTGGTCATTTGAAAGTTCAGGAAATAATATCATGAGGCAAGAAAAAAGTTAGATCATTCTATTCCATCCTCTGTGGAAAAACATCTTATTCAAGTCCACATCAATCTGTGTCTTTTCCCTCTGATAGGTGTTCGAGTACTGGTGGAGTGATGTAGGATAAGTACTGGACTACTACCCACAATTTTGGTGGCTCAAACCCACCAACCCCACCTATGAAACTCTACTGTTATTGTTGTTAAGTGTCACTACATTGATTCCAACTCATATGGCTGCTGTATCAGGTTCCCAAGACTGAAATCTTCACAGGAGCCGAAAGCCTCATCTTTTTTTCTCATAGAGCAGCTGATGGGCTCTGACAGTGGACTTTGTGGTTCACAGTCCAGTGTGTATCATACAGGGTCACCATTTGTTGGAACAGACTCAATGGCACTTAGCAACATCAGTTGTTGTTGTTGTTAAGTGCTGTTGAGTTGGTTCCGACCCATAGCTACCCTGTACAGAGTTTCCAAGGCTGTAAATCTTTACAGGAGCAGATAGCCTCATCTTTCTCCCACAGAACATCTGGTAGTTTCGAACTGCTGACCTTAAGGTTCACAGTCCGATTTGTAACCACTATACTACCAGAGTTCATCAGTAGATGTTCAGAAATAGGCTTAACATTAGAGAAAATCAAGTCAAAAAATGTTAAAGTCAGTTTCTTTGTGAATTAAACTATTGTTTCTTTTGCACAAAAATGGTAGAAAGACAAATTTTGTTTTAATGTAAATTTGCAGCCTGTTCTTATCATCTCTTAACATTGATTTTTCTTTGTATTTAATATTTTTCAACAATTTTTTAAATTGACAAAATACATTTGAAAGCAATTTGGTTGGGGGGGTGGGGCAAAGAGGATAGCATTTATCTTAATTGGGGCTTATATTAGTGTTCCCTGTCATCAAAATAAGGAGCTCTGGTAGCCTAGTGGTTACAAATCAGGCTGCTAATCTCAAGTTTGAAACTACCAGCTGTTATGTGGGAGAAAGATGAGGCTTTCTGCTCCGGTAAAGATTTACAGCTTTGGAAACCCTATGCAGGGTTGCTATGAGTTGGGACTGACTCCACAGCACATAATCACCATCACCATCATCAAATTGATTGCAAATGTTTATCTGTAAAAGACCATTCTTAGGTCATGAGTCATAAAAAACAGTGGTGTCATTTGCTAACTAAGAATGTTTGCTTAACTCTTTGTCTCTACATTTTGAGATCTAAAGAAAGTCATGACTCTTATTCATCTTTGAATTCTTGGGCAGCACATCACTTGGCACACCGAAGGTGTTTAATAACATTATTATTAATATTATGGTACAAATATATATAGCAAAACATTTCATTTCAACATTTTTATATAGACAATTCAGTGACATTTATGTACAGGCATCATGTTGTGCAAACATCATCACATTATTTGATAATTTAATTAGATCATTACTTTGAACAACATTTAAGCTCTATGTCAATTGCCAAAAAAAAAAGTTAAACAGTAAAGCATTTTAAATCTGGCAATAACCATAAGTTACCCTTAGCAGTGACTGCTACTCCATGTTCCTGAAGAAATATGAGTGTGGAAATGGTCACATTCAATATAGACTCAGAACCCTTCGAGAATGTGTGGTTGAGTGGCAGCCAATCTAAATCTTCTAGGGATATTAAGGAACTAGAACCAAAACAAAACCAAAAAAAAGGCAGTATGAGCTAATAGAAACAAAACAATTTAGCATCAATTGCAGAATTATTTATATTCTACCTACTGAATTCTCAGCATTGTGCAGGGTATAGTTGGACCATTTATATACCTCTCTGCTTGTGAGGGTTGCTATGAGTCATAACCGACTTGATGACATTTAACAACAACAACAACATGCTTGTTAGGGCTTTAAATGCAAACCAAACCCACTGGACAAGGGACTAAACATAAGAGTAAGAAGCTTCCAAAAACATTTTCCAGAAAAGTGGCAGGATACACGATCAGATTCCTCTACATTAATAAAAAGAGCTCTGTGAAGGAAATCAGGGGGTGGAAATACAATTTACGAAAGCCACCCAAAAGCAAAACTTAGAATAAATCTGCTCTTCCGGTTCTGGCAGTGGCAGAGACAGAGCCAAGTAGGAAAGGCTCCATGGGCGAGGGATTGAAAACCCAGAGAAGCTCTGGATCTAGCATAGGTTCAGGGTGTCAGTTTCCCACACATGCAAGTGGAAAAATCACGGTATAAAGGAAAATACTGGGATTTAGGAATTGCTTGAGACGGGACTCCCTCTGAGACCACCTCAACCAGGCAGAGTTCAGAGGGCGGGGCTACAGTCACCTGCAAAGGGAACTGACACTAAAAGCAGCACAGTGACATTTGCAAAATCACGTGGGAGGGGATTCTACACATTTTTTCCTCCTCTTCCCTGTTGCACCTTCTTTGCCCATCATGGATGCCTTCAGGTGAGTGGATGTGCACCCCCAAAAAAAGTTCAGCACTGAACCCACGGTTTTCCCATGGCACAGAGAGAAAGAGCTTGGTGGCTATCTAGCAAGAAAAAAGCAGGCCTATTAGGCCTGATGGACAAACCATATGAACAATCTGTAAAACCCCAACATAAAAGGATGTAACTATCTCGAGAATTAGCCTGTGCACATGCAGATACTTAACTAACCTTCAGAAACAAAAATAGTAGACAATCTTTCTCCCGTTAACTTCTCATTATCTACCTACACACCTCCACCCACCCCCACCCACTACTGGAGGCTTCTATGGTGCACACACACTGCCTGTGTAGAATGGCGACTGGACAGTTGGCCACAGTTTTATTTTTGTTTCAAAGTGGTGATTTTCATCTCTGCTTTTATATTACTTCTGCTTTTGGTCCTTTTGATCACACATTTTTCCTGGCTGTGGAAGCTTTTTCTAGCTATGTTACCCAAGAAGAGACAGCAATTGTGGCCATATAGCCAAGATACAAATATACCCCATAATATTCCACCATTGAGACAAGAGCTAATAACAGTTGCTAAGCATTACATGTGAAAAGGGAATCCTATCTCCCGATCATATCCACCAGAAGACACCCAGTAAGCTTAATAACACAACAACAAACATCCATTTAAGCATTAAAAACCCACATAACTACTGGAAATGACCAAAAAAAAACCACAATAAAAGATCTCAACACATATCCAAGAACAGAAAAGAGTAACTGAGACAAAGTCTCCCCAGAAGAGGAAAAACAAGGTTTGGATTTTCCTGAGAAGGAATTCAGAAGAATGATATGGAAACAAATCCAAATGCTCCAAAAAGGGGTAGAGGAAAACAAGGAAGAAGTCAGGAAAGTACTACAAGAGCAATCAAACAAGATTAATACAGCATGGGAAACAATTCAAAACCTTCAAAAAGAGGTACGGATGATTAATAATAAAATATCAGAAACAGACAATACAATGAAAGGGGAAAGGAGCAGAATTGAAGAGATGGAATCCAGAATCAGTGAACTAGAAGATAAATCTCTCAATACTGCTAAGATAAAAGAGCAAACAGAAAAAAAGGATTTAAAAATATGAAAAGAGTCTAAGATTCATGCTGGATAACATGAAGAGGAACAACTTAAGAATTATTGACATTCTGGAACAGGAAAAACCAGAGAAGTCCACAGAGGAGATAGCTGAAGAGCTTCTGGAAATAAATTACCCTAACATCTTGAAAAATGAGAAGATAAACATTCAAGAAGCCAAAAATACCCCAGGAAGGATAGACCCCAAAAGTCACCAAGACATATAATAAGCAAGCTCTACAAAATCAAAGACAAGGACAGACTCTGAAAAGCAGCAAGGTAAAAGAGAAGTGTTACTTACAAAGGCAAGCAAATCAGAATAAGCTCTGACTTCTCGGCAGAAACCATGCAGGCAAGAAGGCAATGGGAGACATATACAAATTTGTAAAAGAAAAAAACTGCCAACCAAGAATCATCTATCCAGCAAAACTATCAATCAAATACAATGGTGCAATCAAAACATTCCAGGATAAACAGAAGCTAAGAGATTTAGTCAAAGCCAATCCAGCACTTCAAAACATCCTAAAGGGAGTTCTTTGGACTGAAAACCAACAAGAACAGAAAACAACTAGAGATTGATAGGCGTGGCAACACCACCTGAAACTCAGACAATGGACAGCAGAGTCCAGAACAGAAAAAAACTACAACAACGAATTCAAAGGAGCTGGGAGGTAAACCAAAGGTCAAAATAATATCAATGTCAAAGAAGGGGAAAATGTAGGAACAGAGATCCAGTTGGTGAGGATGTCAGGTAGATTACAGGATACAATACAGTCTCTTAAATGGAGAGAAAAGTAATAGACTATAAGGTAACCCCAAAGAAAGTAAATACTTCACAACTTACCATGAAAATAAACTTCAAAGCAGAACAAGCAAACATGAAAACTAAGAAGAAACCTACAAGAAATAGTACAAAAAAACCACAAACTCAGCACAAGTAGGCATAACAAAGGAACGAACAGCACTACCAAAAAATTAACATAATGGCAGCAATTAATTCATACCTATTGATAATTACATTGTATATCAATGGATTGAATGAACCAGTGAAGAGACAGAGAGTGGCAGATTGGATAAGAAAACAAGACCCTTCAAAATGCTGCCTGCAAGAGATACACCTTACACACAAAGACAAAAACAGACTAAGAGTTAAAGGATGGAAAAGAGTATACTAAGCTAACTACAACAATAAACAAGCAAGAGTGGCAATTTTAATCTCTGATAAAGTAAACTTTAAGACAAAAACCAGCATAAGAGATAAGGAAGGACACTATCTCATAATCAAAGGGCCAATTGAGCAAGGTGACATAACCATAATAAATAACTATGCTCCCAATGAAAAATCACCAAGATACATGAAGCAAACCTTACTAGAATTGAAGAAATAGATAAATCTACTATTATAGTGGGAGATTTTAATATGCCACCTTCGAAAAGGGATAGAACAAGTAGAAAGAAACTCAACAAAGTTATAAAGGAACTAAACAGCACAATCAACCAACTTGACCTCATAGACGTGTACAGAGCATTCAACCCAGCATCAGCACAATACACTTTCATCTACAGTGCACATGGAACATTCTCCAGAATTGACCATGTGTTAGGTAAAAAAGCAAGGCTCCATAAATTTACAAACATCAAAATACTACAAAGCATCTTTCAGACCACAATACTAAAAAACTAGAAATCAACAAGAAGACTAAGGAAATAAAATCGAATAAATGGAAACTGAATAACACCATGCTGAAAAGTGACTGTGTAAAAGAAATTAAACATGAATTCATAAAGTTCCAAGTAACAAACAAGAATGAAAACAACATTCCAAAATCTTTGTGACGCGGCTAAAGCAGTGCTGAGAGGACAATTTATTGTGAGAAATGCACACATCCAAAAAGAAGAAAGAACCAAAACTAGCACATTAACACAGCATCTCCAACAATTAGAAACTGACAAACAGAGGGAACCTACAGTCACCAAAAGAAAAGAAATAATAAAGATAAGAGCAGAAATAAATGAGGTGGAAAACAGAAAAACTATAGAAAGAATCAACAAGAAAAGAAGCATTGACAGGATTAATAAAATTGACACACCATTGGCAAACCTTACAAAAGAAAAGCAGGAGAAAACACAAATAACTCACATAAGAAACCACATGGGCTATGTCACAACGGAAACAAACGAAATCAAAAGGATAATAGCAGAATACTATGAAGAGTTGTATTCCAACAAATTCGAAAGCTTAGAAGTGATAAGTACATTTTTTAGAAAAACACAACCTACCAAAACTTATACAGTGTAAAGTAGAAAACTTGAACAGACACACAACAAAAGAAGAAATTGAGCAGGTCATCAAAGAACTGCCAACCAAAAGATGTCCAGGTCCAGATGGCTTCACTGGTGAGTTCTACCAAACATCCAGGGAAGAGTTGTCACCAATTCTACTCAAATGATTCCAGAATATAGAAGAGGATAGAAAAATTCCTAACACTTTTTATGAAGCAAGTATAACCCTCATACGAAAACCAGGGAAGGACATCACTAAGAAAGAAAATTACAGAACAATATCCCTCATGAATATAGACGCAAAATTTCTCAACAAAATCCTAGCCAATAGAATTCAGCACTACATCAAAAAAATAATATATCATGACAGTGGGTTTCATAAAAGGGATGCAAGGATGTTTCAACATTAGAAAAACAATCAATGCAATCCACCATATAAATAAGACACAGGAAAAGAACCACATGATCATATCGATTGATGCAGAAAAGACATTTAACAAAATCCAACATCCATTCCTGATAAAAATACTTAACAAAGTAGGAATTGAAAGGGAAATTCTCAACATACTCAAGAGCATATATACAAAACCAACAGCCTACATCATTCTCAATGGAGAGAAACTGAAAGCCTTCCCTCTGTGAACGGGAACCAGATGAGGATGCCTATTGTCACCACTCCTATTCAATATTTTTT